CAAATTTATCATGGTCCGTCCTAAGGGGCTGTTTAGTGCCCTTTTTGCAAAGTTTGCATTTTGTGGAGAAGAGCACTTAAAACTGAGCATGTCTAGCTGAACGTTTAAAAGATACCAAGTTATATTTGCTCAATAAATAAAATATGTCATATTGGCTTATTATATTTAATGCTGCTTTAGGTAAACCTGATAAATGTCACTGTGAATTAACACCTGTTTTGTCTCCTTGATAACAAATTCTCCCCCTCATCCGTCTCTTCTGAAGGCAGCTAACTAATTTTTCCTTCTATTGGGATATGGTTTTGGAAGCGTTGGGTATTCTTCAATATCTCGCCCAAGTGGTCATTATTCACATATATATCACATATGAGCTTTGACAATTAGTGTAGGGAGACTCTTTGATCATGGGGTGGGGGGGGGGGGGGCGGGGGGGAGTTGAAAGCCAAACCCAATCCTATGTCAAATACAGTATCTACAATTCAGCAAAGGTGGTTTAGGTTCAGCAGGAAACCTTGCTCTTTTTTTCCTCTCTGACTGGAGGTGGTGATGTGAGTTGTAGTTCTCTTGCTGCAACCTGATTGAGATCATCCAACTGATCACAGATTATTGATTGAACCTGGGATCTTCCTGGACAGTATTGCTCAGCTGCTCGCTGAATAAATAGGCTGAGTCATCAGAACAGCTTTTGTTTGTATATAAATCATTAAGAAAGTTCCCTGTTGGGATTTAAAACGCAATAATCGCAAATTGGAATTTTTAAGTTAATTACAACTTGTGGTTTGCAAATAATGGATTGCAAAATTTGCACTGAGGAAATGCAAATGCCAAATAGACAAAGTTGAAAGAAAGATTCGCGAGCAAAACACCAGCCATTTCCCAGTGGCTCGTTGCTGTCTTTCTCTAACTTTGTTGTTTTGGGATTTACCATTTGCCAGCTGTGTGTTTTCCAATCTGATATTTATAAACTGGCCGTCACAAATCAGAGGTTGCAATTAATGGAACAAATCTAGTTTCAAATCATTTCAGATCTCATCTGCCCAACTATGCAGGAAGATTGCCAGATTTTTATAAAATCATGTGTTTTTGCAAGTAACAACAACTTACACTTATATAGGAACTTTTCCATAAAACAAATGCCTCAAAACATTTTACAGAGATTAATTAGGGGTGCATTCAGACCTTGTTGAAGTTTAACTGGGTGCAGTTATAATATTGATCTTTGTATTTTATACAGTTCAAAACTTTGAAACATTAATTTCAAATATATAAGTAAAAACATCAAATCATCTTAAAGCGATTCACAGGCAACCCTGTGTGAACTGCCCTAAAAATTTTTTTTGCTGTTGCAGTGCATTTGTAGGCAGTTATATTGTGGCTGATGAAAAGTCCAGACTGGTACAGTCTGCTCAAAGTGGTATTGAAATACTTTATTAAATAGATATGGGGTTCATAAAATTGCAGTGTTTGTGTTGGTTTGATAACTTCGTAGTATGATTTCCTTATTATAATGTGCTTCTTTCCCGACGTGAAAGGTGCTATATAAATGTAATTTTGTTGTTGTTGTTTCGCCCACAAAATATACAGTCAATTCACTTTACAGTATATTCTGTGAAGCACTTTGAGATGTCTCGAAGATGCGATAAGGCGCCATATCAATTGCAAGGATTATTATTATTATTATTATTATGTCATGGGATCTTTAACAACCTGCTGCGCAAGCATTTGGGACCTCAGTTTAAAGTCTCATCCAAATGAGGAAACCTCCAGCACGTCCCCAGTATTGCATTGGAGGGTCATCCCAGACTTTATGAGTTCAAAGTTGCAACTTGGGAATTGAACGCAGAACCTTCAACTCAGAGGTGAGAGTGTTGCCAAATGAGCCAGGCAGACACTTTGTATAGCGCATGCTATACAAATATCATTACTTTTAAAAACAGCATTTATAAAGTCTCTATTTTCCCCCTTAAAAAAATCTAATTCTAGTTTTAAATGGAATTGTTCACTTTTTAAGGTCTGTTGACTCATAGAGATGAGAGTTTTCAACAACTGTTAGCAAATTCAAAACCGTTATTATATTGTATTTCCTGATAAGGAAGAAGCCCTACCATGGGCTTTGCTTCACCATTTTTTGTGTCAATGGATAATTCAAGAAGTAGAACCGTTAACATGATGACTTTCTGTGTCAACAAGAAGAAAAATAGCAGTAAATTCCCAAGTAAATCAGAAAATTCAATCAGGCATATTTTCACGAAACAGGATGAAACTTCGTTGGTGGAAAATGCAACACTATTATGCAATTAAATAATAGTGGTAACTGTTCAAGTGTAATTTGTTTTATATTGCCATGGAAGAGCTGCGATGAATGTTTATGTCCCTTTGAAATTGCACATTTGAGTTTTATCCTTCGTTGTGGCCAAAGCTGATTATTGTCAGACATGAACATCACTGAGAAACACACAGGGAGAAATGATGGATAATTATACAATAAATTGTGGATGAAATAGACTACCTGCCAACCTTTAATACAGTACAGGTTTTTTCAATTCAAAAAATGAAATTGGGTTTCCTAATTGTCGCTCTCTTGGTTTGAATTCTTTATATCTTCTTAAATGAGGTGGTGTTCCCTCTTAATATGCTTTGTGCCAAATTTCAATACAAACATACCTTGCTCACTCTGAAGGACTGCTGTAATTTACTTGTCTTTCTTCCTTAGAAGAGTGGCTGGTTATGTTTTTGCATGGCTGATTTACATACCGTAATTAAAATACCACATCCTATTATCCAGTGGGTCATTCTATGTAGGAGAATTCATAAATTACTTGTTTAAAAAAATCAGCTGAATGTAGACAAAGCAGGAAATCTAGTTGACAGCCTCTGCACTGAATATGTAATGCAAAGGAAGTGAATTTTCCACTAATTTATCTTCTTGTGGAGTGTGTGATGTGATAGCAGGATAGATTGATGCACAATATTGGTTCACAACCATTTTACCCTCATAATTGCTAAAAAGATGCTAAGATTTAACTGTTCATTTTAATGGTTTGTTTTTAGTATGCCTAATTGTTGTAAGTGACACATCAGGAACTACCACTTAACTGTAACATCACTTGGGTGGCATTGTAGTGTTTGTCAAACCTTAAACAGATATTGTTGAATGCAATTTAAAATGGTAAGAACAAAGAATTAGCTCACACCTCACTCGCTCCTAGAAAATCCACTATTGGCAATAATTTTGATTTCGTTTGATTCAGATAATTAGACATTCACTAGTATTTATTGGATCAGGCTTTCAGGCACAGCTTTCCAAAACTGTTAAAAGAAAAGATGGCATTATATGCACAAGGTGACAGCCCAGCTCAGTTGGTAACATCCGGCCTTGGAGTCAGAAGGCTGACGTATTGAGCTCCTAGCGTAAAATGACACTTCAGTGCTGTGCTAGGGAAGAGCTGCATTGGCAGAGAGGTGCCATTCTTCAGAAGAGATGTTAAATCAAGGTCCCAGTCTCCTGTTTAGATGGATGCTTAAGATCCCATGGAACTATTCAAAAAGACAAGGGAGTTTCTTGGCTAATGATCTTCCGGATTGGTCATTCAATTTCTGGCTCTTTCGGCAGTAATCTCAGGCCAGGGTTCAGATAATTATTATGGAAACCTTGCGCTTTTCTCTCACACATTTCATAGTCATCCGAACCACATAATGAGAATACTACCCTGCAAGGACTTTTATTTTTGCTTTCATTTTAGTAGGAGCAAGTTGCCTCTATTGGAAATCGGCTCATAAGAGTTCATTGCAAGCCACAGTTTCTTGAAATAGTTTCAAAGTTTTTAAAAATGTATTTAAAAATTTGACCTGTGGATTCACAGTTATGATTCTGAAAGTGAATACCAGCATACAGTAAGTTTAAAAAAATAATGGATAAATACCAGTTATAAAGGAATGTAATAGCTTAGTTGATCTTCAGGAGTACATTAAGATTTGACCTATATTTTTACTGATGGATATGTCAAATATGTCTAATAATTTTTAGTTTTTTATTCTTTTGTTCATTTTATACGTGATATTTGTTCCTTAACATTTTACGTCTAACTCATTCTGTAATGAAGTTGTCATTTGGTTCTCTGTTCCACGGATCTTAATCATATAAGTTGCCATCTTAATTCCGCTAATATTTTGAAAGGTGTATAACTCATAAAAGCATTAGCTGATAAAAATGTGTATGTCAACAGAGAACAATTAATACATTTTCCCCCAAGATTCAGCGAATAATTGAACTGCCTAGTATTGTACTGAAGTACACAGGCCACAAAGCACACAAGTTCTATCCTGGTTAGCTGAAATTTGTGGGAAAGATGGTGGTACATTACAATTCACTAGGGGCCTCTGGTATATAGAGGGGGAAACAATCAGCCTGACTTCCTGCTGATGATTGATGATGTGACCCACACTGGAAGTTTGAATTTTGAGCAAGGAGAGGATCTGGATGCAGTTTAGTGAAATAGCTGAATAATACTCAGTGTGCAGAGACACATGTGAAGATTTGCCACTTTGGTCAAAGTGTAGAATCTGTAGACTTGGCGCCAGCATGTCAGGGAAATCAGTGTCTTGCCAATGGTATGGTATAAATGCGAAATGAATGACCGTTTGTTTATACAATTATTTAAAATAGAAATAGCCATCTTCTGGGGTCTAGGTTTATTCTATTAATGTAGCATTTTAGAACATCTAGAATTTGGTAAATTGTTGAATTCAATCTTAACTTTGGTTTCTGTAGTCCTTTAAAGAACTGAAAGAAAACGGGCTTGAAAATTACGGCTGTATTTGAATTTGCTAAGTTCTGAAATGGTACATTAAATAGAGTAAATCTAGACCTAGGTGGAATGATATACTCGTGTCTTCATTTTTGTCACCTGACCTCGTCAATATTTGGTTTCTGGTAAATTGTATTTTGTTTTGATAATTCTTTTTGAATTGTCTGACATTTCTGTTTATCTGTGTCACAGAACTTTCTGTTCCGTCCGAACTTCATTAATGATCTGAAAATGTTTGCCGGAAGGTACTGCTATGATATTCATGTTCTGATGACCATCTCACTAAATGAAGGGGGTGAACCGAGTAGGCAGGTTGCCATCTATACTGACAACGATGATCTGTCCAACAGAGTAAGTCATTTAAACTTGCCATTTTAATTTGACTGGTTAAGTTAATAAAATTTATATTTATTAATACCAATGATTAGAAAGAAGCTATTTACAATAGAACCTCGTCATAATCATTGTGTAAGCAATTTGGGTGTAGACTCAAAATCAACTTATCCCAAAATCAATTCAGACAGTATTTTTAAGCGCTGATAGAGCCTGGCGCCTTTCTGGGTAATTGATCAGTGAATGCTGAAGCATGACTAGCAATCGTGCCCTTTTATAGCACTCTTTGGCATTGTTATAATGGACCCCACTGTATACCATTTTTCTTTGCAGGTGATAGTAAATGTGTGCTTATAAGGAGAGCTTATAAGGAGAATGGAATACTGTCTGGAATGGTCTGTCATAGCATCGTCAAATGTAGAATAATATCCATTATATTGCAAGATACCAACCAATAGTTTTTCAGCCTAACAGACACCCTGCTTCCCTTCCCCCCCTCCCCCAAGATATTTTTTGGTTTATTGTATCTCAGATGTGAAGAGCTAATAACTAAGTAGGCCCAGAACGTTTTGTTCCAAGATGGGTAATCAACTGATTTGAGTAATCTGCAATGTTAATCCAATATAAATTTACAGTTATAGCTGCTCTTGCCAAATCAGTTTGTGTATATTTCAGGGTTCAAACTTCTGTGTTTTCCTTTTCACCCATTCTAAAGACATTGTTCAGACTTCTAGACTCGACCACAAAAATGACAATGGCGTATCAATACACCTGTTGGTGTTTTATACCAGATCCTTTTTAAACTTGTTATCCAGTGAGATACTGTATCAACTGAACTGAGAACAACAAAATTGCCATCTTACGTTTCACCAACCAAAATGCCATTGTAAAAATTCTACTTATGGTAATAGTGATTGGTACAACAACAAAAATACAAAATTACATTTGTACAGCGCCTTTCACGTCGGGAGGACGTCCCAGTCAGGGATTAGGACCCGGTCGGGGTGGGTTGGATGGGGTAGGATCAGGGAGCGTGGAGGGCAGAGAGGGTAGGAGGGTGGTTGAAGGCATGGTCGAAGAGTTTTGAGGCGTGCCTTGAAGGAAGCAAAAGAGGGAACAAGGCAAAGGGAATGTGGGATGGAGTTCCAGAGGGTGGGGGCGGAGAGGCTGAAGGCCTGACATCTGATGGTGTGGCAGGCCGGGCGGGGGACATGGAGCTGGCCGGAGCCTGCTGAGTGGAGGGAGCGGACAGATTAATAGGGGATTAGCAGATCAGAGAGGTAGGAGGCAGCAAGGCCATGGAGGACCTTGAAGATGAGGACAAGAATTTTGAACTCAATCCTCTGAAGGATGGGGAGCCAGTGGAACCGGGCGAGGGAGAGTGTGATAGGGTCACGGAGCCTGGGGCAGGAGAGGATACGAGCTGCAGAATTCTGGATGATCTGCAGCTTGTCGGAGGGAAGAGTTGGGAAGGCCGACAAGCATGGCGTTGGCGTAGTTGAGCCTGGATGTAATGAAGGCATGTGTGAGGGTTCTGGCGGCCTGAGGGGTTAGGCAGTGACGGAGTTGAGCAATGTTGCAGAGATGGGGGAAGGCAGAGCAGGTCATAGCACGGATGTCGGGGAGAAAGGACAGTTGAGGGTCGAACAAGATGCTCAGGTTCCTGACTGGCTTGGTGAGGTGGAGTGTGCATCTGTGGATGCTGATGTTGCCAGTGCCTGAGTGCGGAGGCGCTGGTACGAGCCAATCAGAATGGTACAGATTAATAATAATCCTTGCATTTGATATAGCGCTTTTCACGTCGGGAGGACGTCCCAAAGCGCTTCACAGAACACGCTGTAAAGTGAATTGACTGTATATTTGTGGGCGAACGCGGCAGCCAATTGCGCACAGCAATGTCCCACAAACAGTCGTAGATTGAAAATGACCAATTTAATTATTGTTTTTTTTTGGAGGGATTATTATTAGGCGTGTGGAGTAAGGAAACTTGCCCAAGGTTTCGCCCTGCCTGGAATTGAACTCAGGTCTCTCACTTGCAAAGCGAGTGCTCTAACCACTGAGCTACAGGACTCCACGGTACTCCATTGGTACAAACATGTCCTGCTTTTTCTTTGCTTGATATGTGATATCAACTGTGCAGTTCTAGATGCAGTGAAAAAAAAACTACTGATATTATTGTTCTTTGAACAGGTATGTTGTACATTAGAAGAGTGCCAAAATCCATGTCTCCAACTGGAGCCAATAGAGCATGGATTTCAAGAGATCCGAGCATATCAGCAAGGGAGCTCCTCAGTCTCTCAGAAACAGATTGTTCCACTGATAAAAGACTGTATTCACAGGCGACAGCAAGGATTGTCGATGAACAGGAGAACTTCGTCCACAGAAGCTGTCAATGGTAGTGCTCCGGTTTCGGAAGGATCATCTGGTGTTCTGGATTTATCTGGTCCTGATGTGGATTCACAGAACACTGAGTATATGGGTGAAAATTTACTGGATAACTCACAAGTTTTAAATGCTTCCTTACAGGCTCATGGTGATGTTAACGTTGATCTTATGAGCCCAGACAGTGGACTAGCCACTATCCGAAGCAACCGTTCCTCCAAAGAGAGCTCAGTTTTCCTAAGTGATGATAGTCCCATTCGAGAGGCAATTGGACCATCATCCAGCCTCTTGCAGGGCTACGATATGTTTAGTTCTTTGCCTGAAGATGAGACAGTGGAAGATGGAGTTGCTCCAATTGATAATGCAAATAGGTTTGATTTGTTTGGTCTAGATCTAGTGCATAGCAATAACATTAAGACCGATTCTTTGGAAGATAATCAAGATTTTTTGGTGAATGATGGAATACCAAAGGCAGAATTAGCCCCTCAGAAAGATAATGATGTGGAAGCAGTTCCATTAAGTGATCATGTTTCCATGGATTTAATGAAGGAAACCACAATGTCAACCGAGCTGGTGAAGGCAGAGGATGATAAGATTTACAATCAAGATCGTATTGGAGATGAACCAGTAAAAGAGCAAGTGAGATCCCAAATTTCCTACACAACTGATGGAATTGGAATGGTCATTGTGGATAAGAAGGTTCCTCCAACACCCATGAACAGTCTTGTAGAAGGGTCACCTCTAGATGAGGGACCTCCTAACATTTTTGCAGAAGATGTTATAGAGAAAATGAATGAAATTGGCAATGTTGGCTCACACCAAGCAGATTGTATGTATCTCAGGCAAAAGAACGAATATGAATCTACCAAGACCATGTCAGAGGAAAGCGATGGCTGGACATCACATCAGAATGAACTGAGTAACACGGTTACTCAAGATTCTGATTTATGGATGAAGTTTGACCAGGGATCCAGTCAACTAAATTTCAAAGACTATGACAGGTGGAGTGAATTTGATCTACAGCCAAATGTATCAACAGAAATAAGTGCTAGTGATATATGGAATTCAATTGAGCAAATCTCTACCCAGGCCTTTGGTGATGAACCAGCCACGTCAGACGAATTAGACAAAACCCCATCAGTCTCTCATGATTTGTGGAACATCTCTGGGAAAGAAACTGTTCTGTCAGGGTTCCATAAATTTGATGAATATTACAAGTTTCAAAACGAAATTCCATCAGTGTCTGAGAGTTCAGATGTAGCCGATAAACAAGAGGAAGGGAATGAACAGCAATATGAAACTACTTTTAATGTAGGGAAACTTCCTGTGTCAAAGGAATATTCAGATCAACCACGTTTGAGGGATGAAGCTGTAAAAGGAGCTATCCAGCCTATTAAAATCCTCCCAGAGGTGTCAGACAATGCTGAACAGAGAATCCAAAGTTCAGACCATGAAAATCCAGTATGGACGAAACCGATTTTAGAGACGTATTTACATCCTTCTTATAATTTGAGTGACCCTAAACAGGAAGTGACTTTGAATTCAGATATATTGAGTGAACCTAAAAATGATGATGGCCAACCAGTTGCAGAAAATGCAGATGATTGGGCTACATTTGACCAGGAAGCTAACAGTTCTGCATCAGACAGTGATGATCCATTATCTGAAAAAGCCACCCAAAAAACTGTGTGCACCTATAATGTATGTGGTTCAAGACAGGAGAAGAACAAAGGCTTTGAAAATGTAAATGTTTGGAATGAATCCACACAGGCAGATAGTCAACTTACTGCACAAGGTCTTGAAACGTGCAATACTTGTCAACATGATATTAAATATTCACCATCTGACCATGTGGAAAAGCAGAATACACATGCAGACTTGGTTACGGAAGCAAGGAATGATTCTGTATGGGATATTACCCAGCCAGCATTTAAAATGCAAACCCTGGAAGTACAACAAGAACATGATCACAGTCGGACCATATTTGAAGCTGTGGATTCAGCAGATGCACAGGAACACAAGCCACCATCTCCACATTTGTCTGATGTGTGGAATGAATTTGAAAAAAATAGATATTCATCTTCTGAAAGTTTAGATGCTTGGGGTGCTCCTGTCAAAACGTTCAGTCAGCAAAGTGTAGAGTTACCAGTTAAACTGAATAATTCTGACCAAGAAGCTAGATATTCAGCAACTCAAAATGTGTATGTGTGGAATAAGGAACAAGAGAATCATCAGCTTCAAGAAGGGAAGCAAAATCCATGGAATATTTTTGAGCAGGATAGTGGCCAGTCAACATTTGAAAGCCAAGCCTGGTACAATCAGATGCAAGAGATCAGTCAGGCAGATACAGATCATCTTGAGATGTACCATGCATCTGACATTGGAAAACAATTTGGAAATGATAAAAGTCAGGAGAAAGAAAAAGATCTCACACAGAATAATAAGGAAACAACATTAGACCTTTATGATACACACTGTGAAGCTGAAGAGCACAGTCATTTGTCAAGCCAACATGACTACAGGCATCATGAATCAGAATATCATGTGAGACCTATTGAACATCCAGATGAACCTTTAGAAAAAGTTTTGAAGCATCCTGATCTGTGGAGTGATTCTGAATATGAGTTTATCCATTCACCTGGTGATGTTCTTATTTCCAATAAATTCGAACATAAGTTAAGTCAGTCAAATGTGCCAAATCCTGACGGACAGACAACAGGTGAGTCTAACCAGTCTTTTACTGAAAATTACTCTGTTTGGACTGAGTCTTGGCAGGAAGTTCCCCATTTGCTTTCTACTACCAGTGATGATTGTAAGGAATCTAAACGGGAGTTAATTGAACCAGATGTTCCTGATGTAATAACTGACTATCACCAATACACCCACCAGACTTTCTCTGCAATTCCTGATTTATGGAATAAATCCAATCAAACATTTATTGCTTCAATTGCTGAAAACACATCTCTTTTGAATGATAGCTACTCTGCTTCAAATAGTCCAGGTATATGGAATGAGGCAGAGAGACAAGGTTCTAAAAGTGCAGATAGGTGGACTGATGTAAAAGAAAACAATAAGGAAACTATGACTAATCAACCTGATCTAATGATTGTATCTGAGCCAAAGTTTCACCTGTCTTTCTCAGCTGGTGCTAATGCATGGACAGAATCTGAACATACATTTCTTTACCCAGATGCAGAAAGCCTTGGTGCATATAATGATTCCATGCGGCAGATAGCCCACTCGCCCATAGTCGATGCTGATCCAGGGCATGTACATGTACAGAGAGTTTCGACTCACCCAGGACAAGATTTTGCTTTAACACCAGATGAAACATTTCATAAAGATGAAGATTTATCCGAGCTATCCGGTTCTGTTAAGTTTGAATCCATGCAAACCTGGCAAACCTTTGGAATTCCTGTCCCTTGCATACATTTGCAGCAAGGAGTTACTGACCTCTTTGGGAAAAGTCCAATTTCACACAGTAACTATGAAAAGGGATTCACTCATTCTGACTTAGGTGAATTTAGGGTCCATAGAGCACATGAGGTTAATCAGTCAGCTTTAGAATATCTTGATCCCTGGAACCCAGTGGAAGGGGTTACTGCTGAATCTATTTCTGTGGAGAGCAAGTCATCTCATGTAGAAGACATTGCATTGATGGATAAAAAACAGATCCAATGTTCAGGTTTTGATAATATGTCAAACATTATCAGAACAGATGAGGTGGAGGCAACAAATTTGGAGTATACAGACTCAATTTCATCAAACAAGCAAACGACAAACATGTACAGCCCAAATGTAGGAGTAACCAAAAACGAAATCCCTTTTTCAAAGTTTTCATCTCCCGATGAATATTTTACATCTACTGCACCCGACAGAATCTTAGCTAGCCAATCAACTGGTTCTCAGGGCTCAAACGTGATGGAGTACTTCTCTGTATCAGATAAAAATCTTTTGCCAATCGAACCACTAAAAGAATTTTCACCAGTGCAAACAGAGGATGAGCCCTTGTGCGGTACTATTTCATTTGCAGAAACTACCACACATAAGTGTTTCCCTACTCACATAATGCCTGGTAAGGCAGAATTATCCTATGAAAATGTAGAACCAGTAAATGCTGCTTCTGATTATTTTTATGAGATAGATGGACTGAAAGCTTGGCCAAAGGCGATTGAACACAATAACCTATTTCTGCCAGCAGATGATGCTGCAGCACTTCATAACTCTAATGAATCAAACCAAAGAAGCATAGAAACAGAACATGTGGAAAATAAGCCTAGCGAAAATTCGTGGGTTTCATTTGGAAATTTAGACAGCAACATTAGTATCAATATGATGTCCTCCAGCCCGCCCACCTGTGCCCAGAAATCAGACTTTTGGGAGGCTTTCAGTGCTCAGAAGTGTAATTTAACTCATGATGTGGATCATTCTCATTACAAGGCCATAGAAAACTTCAGCCCTGACTCAGAATGCATAACTAAAACAGATGGGCAGGACGAAGATGGAGAAAATGTACTAAGCACGGCAAATACAAATCTCCATAGCACACAAAGTGATACCAATTTGGCGAAAAGGTTTGATAAACAGTCCAGCTTCTTGCTAACAGATATTTCGTCACTTACTTCTCTAATTTCCTCCACAGAGATTGATAGCAGCTCACTAGAAGTTGAATATGTGGATAAAAGTGACAGCAACCTAGCCTCAAAGATCTTTGAACACGGAAGCAATGAGGACAATAAATTGATTTCAGATGAGGATGAGAGGATGGGAGAAATGGATTATATAGTTGTAGCTGGAAGAGAAAGGATGTCTGGAGCAGACACAAATGGACAGGACAAAGAAAATATGGTCATGGAAGATATAAATGCAAGAATTTTGAACATTGACTATCAAGGACAAACTTTGTCAACCTCTCCTTCAATCACTGTTCAACCAGAGCTCAGTGACAATGAAAGCAGTGCCTTGGAGAGTTCTTCCACTGAATATCTTCCTGCAAACAAAATCTTAGATGACCCTTTTATGAGAACTAATTGCCAGGATGAAGGGAAAATAAATTTAGATGAGAATGCCAGTATTGAGGATGAATTCAATTATCAAGTCAATATTGAGGAGGAAATTGATGAGAAAGCCAGCATTGAGGATGAATTCAATGATCAAGTCAATATTGAGGAGGAAATTGATGAGGAAGCCAGTACTGGGGATGAATTCAATGAGGAAATCAATATCCAGGATGAAATCAATGAGAAAGCTGGCATCGAGGATAAATTCAACAAGCAGGACAATATTCAGGAGAAAATCGATGAGAAAGCTGATATCAAGGATGAATTCAATGAGGAAATCAATATAGAGGACAAGATTGATGTGGAAGCCAATATCAAGGATGAATTCAAGGAGCAAGGCAAGATTCAGGAAGAATTTGATGAAAAAGCCAACATTGAAGATGAATTCAATATCAAGGACCCAATTGATGAGAATGTTAGTATAGAAGACGAAGTTAATGAACAAGCCAATATTCAGGAGAAAATCGATGAGAAAGCTGATATCAAGGATGAATTCAATGAGGAAATCAATATAGAGGACAAGATTGATGTGAAAGCCAGTATCAAGGATGAATTCAATGAGCAAAGCAAGATTCAGGAGGAATTTGATGAAAAAGCCAACATTAAAGATGAATTCAATATCAAGGACACAATTGATGAGAATGTTAGTATAGAAGATGAATTTAATGAACAAGCCAATATTCAGGAGAAAATCAATGAGAAAGTTGATATCAAGGATGAATTCAATGAGGAAATCAATATAGAGGACAAGATTGATGTGGAAGCCAGTATCACGGATGAATTCAATGAGCAAGGCAAGATTCAGGAAGAATTTGATGAAAAAGCCAACATTGAAGATGAATTCAATATCAAGGACACAATTGATGAGAATGTTAGTATAGAAGATGAATTTAATGAACAAGCCAATATTCAGGAGAAAATCGATGAGAAAGCTGATATCAAGGATGAATTCAATGAGGAAATCAATATAGAGGACAAGATTGATGTGGAAGCCAGTATCAAGGATGAATTCAGTGAACAAGGCAAGATTCAGGCGGAATTTGATGAAAAAGCCAACATTGAAGATGAATTCAATATCAAGGACACAATTGATGAGAATGTTAGTATAGAAGACGAATTTAATGAACAAGCCAATATTCAGGAGAAAATCGATGAGAAAGCCAGCGTTGAGGATGAATTCAACAAGCGAGGCAATTTTCAAGCGAAAATCGATGACAAATCCAGTATTGACAATGAATTCAACAAGCAAAGCAAAATTCAGGAGGAAATCAATGAGAAAGCAAACATAGAGGACAAATTCAATGAGGGAATCAATATTGAGGATACAATTGATGAGAATGCCAGTATAGTAGATGAATTTAATGAACAAGACAAGATTGAGGAAGAAATTGATGAGAAAAACAGTATCGAGGATGAATTTGATGAGGAAATCAATATCCAAGGCAACATTGATGTAGAAACCAATATCGAAGATGAATTCAACAAGCAAGGCAAGGTTCAGTTGGATATTGATGAAAAAAACAATCTAGAGGACAAATTCAATGATCAAGTTAATATCCAAGACAAAATCAGTGAGAAAACCAGGATTGGGGAAGAATTCAATGAGCAAATTAATACTCAGGAGGAAATTGATGAGAAAACCAGTGTCGAGGATGAGTTTAATGAGGATGGTAATATTCAGGAGGAAATCTATGAGATAGCCAGCATCGAGGATGAATTCAGGGAGGAAATCAATATTCAGGAGGAAATTGATGACAAAGCAAGTATTGAGGATGAATTCAACGAGCAAGGTAATATTCAGGAGAAAATCAATGAAAAAGCCAACTTAGAGAATGAATTCAATGAGGAAATCAATATTCAGGAGGAAATTGATGACAAAGCAAGTATTGAGGATGAATTCAACGAGCAAGGTAATATTCAGGAGAAAATCAATGAAAAAGCCAACTTAGAGAATGAATTCAATGAGGAAATCAATATTCAGGAGGAAATTGATGAGAAAGCCAACATTGAGGATGAATTCAATGAGGAATTCAATATCAAGGACACAATTAATGAGACATTAACTATTGAAGACAAATTCAATGATCAAGGCAAGATTCAGGAGGAAATCAATGAGAAAGCCAGTATTGGGGATGATTTCAAAGAGCAAGTTAATATTCAGGATAAAATTGGTAAGGTAGCCAGTATCGAGGACAAATCCAATGATCAAGTTAATATTCCGGACGACATCTATGAGAAAACCTACCTAGAGGATGAAATCATTGAGGGAATCGATATCCAGGATGAAATCAATGAGAAAGCCAGCATCGAGGAAGAATTTGACAAGCAAGGCAATATTCAGGAGGAAATGAATGAGAAAGCCAGTATCAAGGATGAATTCAGAGAAGAAATCAATAATCAGGAGGAAATTGAAGAGAGAACCAGTATCAAGCATGAATTCAACAAGCAAGGCAAGACTCAGGAAGAAATCAATGAGGAAGCCAGCATTGAGGATGAATTCAATGAGGAAATCAATATCGAGGACACAATTGATGAAAATGCCAGTATAGAAGATGAATTTAATGAACAAGGCAAGATTCAAGAAGAAATTGATGAGAAAGCCAGTATTGAGGATGAATTCAATGAGCAAGGCAATATCCAGGAAAATAATGATGAGAATGCCATTATAGAAGATGAATTCAACAAGCAGGGCAAGTTTCAGGAGGAAATCGATGAGAAAGCCAACATAGAGAATGAATTCAATGAGGAAATCAATATCCAGGACAAAATTCATATGGAAGCGAGTATCAAGTATGAATTCAATGAGCATGGCAATATTCAGGAGAATATCAATGAGAAAGCCAGCATTGATGACAAATTCAATGGGCAAGTTAATATCCGGGAAGAAATTGATGAGAAAGCCAACATCCAGGAAGAATTCAATGAGCAAATTAATATTCAGGAGGAAATTGATGAGGAAACCAGTGTCGAGGATGAGTTTAATGAGGAAGGTAATATTCAGGAGGAAATCTATGAGATAGCCAGCATCGAGGATGAATTCAGTGACGAAATCAATATTCAGGACGAAATTGATGACAAAGCCAGTATAGAAGACCAATTCAACGAACAAGACAATATCCAGGAAGAAACCAGTATGAAGAATGAATTCAATGAGGAAATTGATAAGAAAGACAGTTTCAAGGACAATTTTAATGAGAAGGCTCACAGTGAAGACAGATCAGATAGAAAGTTTAATTCTAAGGATGAACTAGTTGAGAGAGCTAGTATTGAGGAAGGAGACACCCAAAGCTGGACAGTGCTAAATGCAAATGAGCCAGTTGACATCTTGTCCGAAAGTAGTATAACAGAAACAAGTGGATCTGAATCAGAGCATTCAGTCAAAGAACTGGAAGCAATAAGTTCACTTGCTGATGGAAATGCTGCTGCAAATGAAACTGAAGAAACTAAGGATGTCCAAAATATGATACATGATGTATCTTTAGAAATGGAAAGCATGGTGTGGTCAAATGAGATGGTATCTATAGATGGATCTGAGAGGATTATGCCGGAGTTGCCAGTGAGGGAGGTCCACCTTTTATCTAACACTGTAGAAGGTGAAAAGATTCTTAACCTTTCGCTACCAGGTCTGACAGATACTTGTACTTCAACGGAACTACAAGAAATTAACTCAACTGAACTAAGACTTTCAACTGAAGATGTACGGTAAGATATTCATACTCCATTCAAATTCAACAGTTTCTCCCAGAATAGAAACTTATATTTATATCTGAATATGTTTCACTCTGGATAGTAATTGTTTTTCATGCTTACACATCTGACTAAAATGTTATTCAGATCAGTTTTGCTGGGCAAAATGAGGGATCAATTAGAATCCGAGGGAACATTCCTTACCTTAGTGTACGAATGGAAAATGTCTGCTCATCAACAGGTGTAAAGAAACCAAAGATGGAATGAGCAACTCAAAACGAATGTAGAGTACTGTGTGGTTGGAATTGGGCTATCCTTGTTTCCTCAGCAGCAGAGTATGCAATCTATTCTGTTCACCAAAGTTAGCAGGATATTTGTTCCTCCAATGTTTTCTATAGCTGTGAACCTGACTGAGAGAGGATGACAGTGATGAGAGACCAGAAGCATGAGATTTGAGGACAATGAGTAATAAGAGGGTGGTTTGGAGTAAATGTGGATTTGCAGTGTGGAAGAGAACTGCTTGCAGAAAGGTGGTATTGAAGAATTGAAAAGCAAACACAATTTATTTCAAAAGTCGGCCAAATTTTAAGCAGATGTACAAGTTTAAAAGGCTGCAGTTCATGCTGTATGGCAGTAAGCAGCAGTAATTTCATGAAAGGCTTTGTACTAAGGTTTTATACTTTAACCTACTTAGTTTGTGTTTGAATATAAAAACTGATATGGGAAGCACATTATGCTATGGTGTTTTAGATTTCATGAGTACAGGCAGAAAGAAGTTACAAAACAGAAGTTACAATACTAACTGTAGAGTCGGTAAACGATGCAATTTTATAGGATAGTTCCTTCCTATTGTGTGACTGGTGTTCTTGAGAGACTTTCTCTAGGTTTCTGAAGCAAATGTAGTCTGTCACTAGTATCTTGAACAGGCTATATGTAGACATGCTTAGTTTGCTAATTGGCCCGAGAATATTGAGGAGTGGTCTTGAGTGAAAGTAAAAGTAAAAGCTGACTAATCACCCAAATCTATAAGTTGTTTTAAGAAGTTTTAATAAATGCGACAGTAATTCCAGACCAAAGTGAAATTTTGTTGATATTAAATAATAAATAGATAGATAGATTTCTTATTGCAAAAGAGATTAAGGGATATGGGGATAAGGCAGGTTAGGTTATTAGCTGGAGTTAGATTAGAAGATCAGCCATGATTGAAAGGCGGGGCAGGCTTGAAGCGCCGAATGGCCTATTCCTGCTCCTACATGTTATGTTATGTTATGTTATGTTATGTTATGTTATGTTATGTTATGTTATGTTATAAACCACACACTCAAGTATAGAGAAAAGAAAGGAAACAAGAAGTACAGGAAATAAACTATACATTTACAGTATGCATGTCATCGTGAAACCATATCCTGCTCTTCTCCTGAGTTCTCGACTTTTGTTTGGGTATGACTGCATAATGTCCTAGACTGACTGCTCTCATAGCCACAAGAAAGATATCAAAAGTATGTATTTCTCATGGCTTATATCCAGCTGAGGAATAATGACATGGACCATTATTGCTCTAAGGGAGGGCAAGGTGGGGGGGAGGGGCAGAGAAGCATCTAGTACACAGGTACATTCCCAGGTCTGATACACTAGGTTCAATTTTCATAGAAATACCCTGCCAAAAAGGTCAGGTTTTTAATTATTATTTTTGTTTGTTCTTGTGTTGGCAGTTCAGGAATGTTAAATTTTTTGAATGTTCAGGAGCAGGCTCCTCTGGGATCCACACCAACCACGCAAGATTCGCTTCACACCGTCTATAAAGAAATAAAAGGCTTGCGAATTGAAGAATATACAAGGTTAGAGCTTAGTGGTTAGTCTTGCAAGCGACAGGACCTGGGTTCGATTTCCAGGCATTCCCAGCAAGTTTCCTTACTCCACACACCTCTGTTTACCTAGCAGTAAGTAGGAACCTGGTTATTAGCCAATTAGCAGATGCTTTTCCGGGGGTAATAATTCCTTAAACAAAATGTGGTCACTCAATCCATGACTGTTTGTGGGACATTGCTGTGTGCTATTGACTGCTGCATTTTGCCCACAAAATATACAGTTACTACACTTTACAGTATATTCTGTGAAGCACTTTGAGACATTTCAAAGACATGATAAGATGGTTATCAAATGCAAGGATTATTATTTTATTATTAATATGTCAGGTTATTTAATGGGTTAATGTAAGACCAAGTTAACTTAAGTTGAATTGTCGTGTTACTGCACAAATGCAACAGAAAATGCCTCTGCACCTAAGCAATGTGTCAGTCATTTTATTTCTATGTTTTGTTCTTTAAGCTGTTGGCTAGAGGTAATAAAATCTCAAGGCATCATAAATAGGAATATAAAGCTTGGTTTTACTTTCAGTTCATAGTGCTGCTAAAGAGGAATTGTATGCACAATATCTACTTCCAACAAACATTTTTCATCCTCTATTTCACACTTTAAAAAAAGACCGTCAAAACTTTCATTTATAATTATAGTTGTGTAGCAAATTACATACATCTACAGACTTTTTAGATCAAAACATAGTCCTTTTTCCAAGAGATAAGGCGCAGCATCTCTGGAATTTGACGTTTGAAAATTCAGTTCTTCATGAGTCATGCAGCATTTACACTGTTGTGTACTATTGGCTTCATCAAAATGTCAGTTGTTGATTATAATAATAATAATCCTATAATAATTTGATATAGCGTTTTTCACGTCTTCTAGACGTCTCAAAGTGCTTCACAGAATATACTGTAAAGTGAATTGATTGTATATTTGTGGGCGAAATGCGGCAGCCAATTGCGCACAGCAGTGTCCCACAAACAGTCAGGGATTGAAGTGACCAATTTATTATTGGTTTTTTTTCTTGAGGGATTCCAAGCTATAGGTCATGTGGTGTCCGTAGGTGCGATTTTGCACATACAGACACCACATGACCTGTAGCTTGGAGCCTGTATGATATTGCGCAGAAAGAAACATACAGAATCAAGAGAGCAGATTTTCATCCCCAAGTTGCTACTACCCCAAAAGCGTTAGGTTTCAGTGGAAATGTTAATATTTCAATGGAGCATATAAAGCATAACATTTCCAAAAAGGGTAGCAACTAAATGAAATTTCCAAGCACAAAAATTGTGTCTTCAATCAAACCCGTAACTCCGAAGGTGCAGTTTAGCAAGTCTTTGCGTAACTTTGGTTTCAAAGTGAATAACATTGAATTAGCAAGCTTTTTTTTAGGTATAAATGAATGCATTTCTGTATTCTCTGCAGATACAACAGCACAACAGCTGAGTACTTACTCTTCCGAGCATTCCGACTTGATCTAAAGCAGTTGTCAAGGCCCATTGTTGTAACTGCAGAATTAATTTGGTCCCTGGTCAGGATTCTCTTGGAGCCAACTTGGTAGTGTTAAGAAAAAAAAGCCAAAGTACTGTAGATGCTGGAAATCTGGTATAAACACAGAATTTGCTGGGAACACGCAGCAACTCAAGCAGGATCCATGGGGAGAGAAAAATTTGTTAACGTTCCAGGTCTATAACCTTTCATCAGTTTTGGTAGTGTTAAGATTGTTTATGGGGCTGCTGAAAATTAGCTGCTGTGTTCACTTACATAATACACAGTCACTACACGTTACAGTAAATCCTGCAAAGCGTTTTGGGGCATCCTCCTGATGTGAAGGGCACTATATCAAATGCAATGATTATTATTATTGTAAGATGAACTTCTCAAGGGCACATATGTTGGTTCAGGGTCAGCAGAACCTGACACAAATATTATTCGGCATCATCTTGTTCCCCATTTATACTAAATAAATAAAGGGGTTTCATACAAAAAAGCAAGCGAGAAAAGACCCAGATTCAATTCCTCATCAGAGCGAAACAAAGGCACGTTTCCTTACTCCACATACCTGTTTACTTAGTAGTTGTTAGTCCGCCAGTAGACTGTTACACTGCCGTCTTATACCAACTGGCTTGCAATCAATTGCACAAATTTTACAAAGCTGGAAAGGAAGAGTGACCAATGGGTTGAATGATAAACTACACAAAAGAAATGAAAACAGAGATTAGGGGAGGTTAATAGAGATAACTGGAAATGGATCACAGCAGCAAATCCAAAACATAATATCAAAACATTCCTTCAATTTTATAATAATAAGTGTGTAAACAGGTTCTAGATCACTGCTGACATCACTTCCTGCTTTGTTGCATACACAGTAATTTGGAAGTGACATTGGTGGTGACTTAATCACAAGAATGGTTCAGTTGAAGAAGACCCTTCAGTCCATCAGATCTCATCCTTTAGAACACTCACCCTCCCATACTCCCATCACAGCATCAAGCTCCTTTTTAAATGAGTTCAGTGTCCTGACCTCAACCACCTTTTCTAGCAACCAGTCCCAGTCATTAATTACCCTCCCACTAGACAAAAAACTTCCTTGTATCTGTTCTAAAATTGCGAGAGAAGGGGAAGTTGCGTGACCAGCATCTGGGTGGGGAGGGGGTCGAGGCAGCAGGTGGTGAACTTCATACGTGTGCTTGTGGTTGAGAGGGAGGAGGGAGAAATGGGGGGCAAAGGAGTAGGGAGTGGCAGGAGCCATGGTGGAGAGAGAAGGCGGTGTGGATCATCTGGGTGAGGTGGAAGGCGACATGGGGGGAATGGACGATGCAGCCAAGCAGATGTTTTCAATCTTTGAGGCTAAGAAGTCTTGGACCTCTTTGCACTTGGTGTTTGATGTGAGGATAGAGGGAGCTTGAGGGGGTGCACAGAGAAGGTGATGGACAGTGAAAAATCTAATAATAGTTGCAGATCTGATCAGAAATGAGAACCAAACTGTTTTAAATGAACTGTTGCCTACAACCTCAAGCACAATTGCCCAATTTTAATGTTGGATTACAATTTGGCAATTTCGCTGAAAGAGCCTTGAACGGTATAAAAAGCAAATATTCAACTGGTTTATAGGGATTGTTGATTTTAGACAAGCTAAGTCAGCACTGCTTTAA